TTCTTACTTTACAGCATTTTTTCACACCTGCCTAAAAGTTTTGCAGAGTACTGTAACTCTCTTCTTTCTATAATCTATTCTGTCTAATCATGAAAACCATAAATCATAAGTTCATTTCTGTTTTGTGCAAAAAGTCCATAAGGGGTTTCCAGTCAGCAATAAATGTAGATATTGCCTTTTCTCTGATCAAAGAAGTCAATTTAACCATCTCAGCAAGTTCCATCATCTTCACCAACCATGCCTCCATTGTGGGTAGTGCCATATCTTTCCATCTTTGTGTATACAATTATCTTGCTGCAGTTATGTACAAAAACAAAGTTCCATGACTTTTTTCCAACTGTCCATCAATCCCAAAAGAAAAGCCTCCAGTCTCAATTGTATATTAATCTTTAAAATCCTTTGAATCAGTGTGTGTATTTGAATCCAACATTTTCTAGCTTTTTTACACATCCACCAAACATGATAAAATGTCCCTTCTTGTTGTTCACATTTCCAACATAAATTTGAAGCTTTAAAGTCAGATGCCATCTCTATCACTCCATAGTTCCTCCAGCTGATTCCTTTGGCATTACTTTAGTTTAATTATGGGCTAGATAAAAATGAACAAACTAAAGTCAAATCTTGGTAAAATGGAGGTACTGTTGAAAAGAAACCAGAATCTGGGATTCAATTCTAGCCTGCTCCTAATGGGGTTGCATTCCCCTTAGAAGAGCAGGTTTGCAACCTGATGTGTTATATTTGACTGTTTCTGGATCTCTAGACAGTGGTGGTGGGAAGCAAGGCATATCCATAGTTATATTTAGTCAAGTTAGTAATAAATGTTTTGATTTTATCACAGTGTGAGTTGGTGCAAAATATGGTAGCTAGGTTGCTAACCAGTAATTGATACAGAATCATATCATTTCCAGATTGAAAGATATGCACTGACTCCTATTTGTTTTCAGAACACAAGTTACTCATTTTAGTCATGAACTTTAAACAGATTAGGATCTGAGTATCTTGAATATTTATTCTCATTATGAGCTTGTTTGGGCATTAATGCCATGAGAAGCACTCTTAAAGCCATCCCCATTTTCAGAAATGTGTTTGCTGGGCATATGGGAAAGAACTTTTCTCTATGTAGCTATCAGACTGTGAAAGGCCTTAGCCTCCATTCCTTTCATGGAGGGGTCATGGAAAAGGTCAAGAACCTTCTCTTTAACAAGATTTTTGGGGTTTGACAATAATTTTAGCTGAAGCTTTTATTAGATTTTGTGTTTTGTTTTTTGACTGGTAGCAGCCTTTAATGCCATACTGATAGAAAGATTGTTTTAGAAAAAAAATTGAATAATAAATAACAGCAATCATGCTTTCATTGCCTTCACAAGTACAAATGTTTCTCTATTATCTGAAGGAAGTCCTCATTCTTCATGTCATTTTGCTTTTAACTCTCTGGTTTTTCTAGAGCACTCCACCCTCACGAGCAAAAGGCTTGTCTTTGCTGCCCTTTGGAGTAGCTAGCTCCACATCTCTCAATTCTCAAAAAATCGTGAATCCAAGTGGGCCTCCAGTTGTCACCATTACACACCACAAATCTCCTGTGGCAGCCCGAAAAGCCAAAGCCCAGTGTCCCCGCCAGCTTCATGGAGTCAGAGAAGTAAGAACTATATGGAATTCTTCTATGGGTGAAAATGTGATGTAATCTCTGAAGTACGTGGTTGGATATTATGAATAGAAGCACTTATTTAGTTTTTTAAATCTCTTTTGTAATATAGAGCAGTGTAAAAGTAAAATTAACACTAATGACCTGTTTAAATGGTAAGAATTTTTAAAAGCTAACTGCTAACCTTTAATTTTGTATTAGTAGAGCATTTACAAGTGTTTTGCATTTGCAAGTATTTTGGACTGGTAGGCTCAATTGGAATTTAAAGAACATCTTCAGGGCATTCCCACAAAATCTCTGCCTTGATAGGAGTGGGCAGTCATAAAACACCCATTTTCCAGAAAATAGGCTATTGAAATTGTTTCTACCTTCCCACCTTCTACTATTCCAGGATACTCTCCGCTATGATGGTTTATTTTTTTTCTGGGCAGATGAACGGCACTAGATAGAGCCTAGTCTGCAGTGACTTGTTTAAAATTTACACACAACACACGTGAAAATCAGGCAGAGCTTTGATTGCATGGCCATGTCTGCCATTTTTATTTTTTTGACTATACCCTGCAGACACCCTGGGATGAAAGAGTACTGTATACTAAGAAAGAGGCTGCCCAGGAAAATTGCATTAACAATTTAAAATATTTTTAATTGTCACACTTTTGGCAAAAAAATCCCTTTCATAAATGTGCTTACTCTAGTTAAACTGTATTAGTGACCTGAAAACTACACTTTCTGTTGTGGGATTTGCACCAGAGGTTTTAACAGGTTTGTCCAAAACTGAGTAGGTGGGAAAAATAAACATTTTAATGAAACAGTTTTCTAAATATAGGAGCTGTCAGCAACTTTCTAGTTTTGACAGAAGGACCTCTCAGAAGTGAAAGCTTTCATATTTTCACACATCAAGTTGGGTAACTGAAATAATATAGGTATACCTCAGTTCTAAGTACAGCATAATGGTTTTCTTTGCATAAATGGATATCAGGAATCCCAAAGGCCTGCGGAGATGTGCAGAAAGAGTGTAGAGGTACTGTACTGCACAACCTGAGCTCTAGTTTAATTTGGTCATTAGAAGTTTTCATCAGATGTGAAGTAAATATATTGTGAAGTCTTGCGAATCATTGAGGCTGGTAAAATTTTCTCTCTTTGGTATGTGTGTACATGTGTATGTATATATGTATATTCCATTTTGTAGGGGGGAAAACGGTATCCCGTTATGGCTGCTGATAGGTTTCGTACCCCAAGCTTATCTCCTCTGAGTACTTTATAACATTCACTGTAACTGAATGGATTTTAATGCTTAAACTAGTTTTCAAATTATACCCTGCACAATTAACTGTACAGATAGATATATTTTCAGCAATTAAATCGCTTATTGCACATTTTTGTGTGTCTTGGAAGTCTATAGAATAATAGCAAATAACTATTGCTTAATATATTGCATAGATGCTGTAATATATTTTATATATATATATAATGCTTTAGATTTTCAGTTTTAGATTTTAGATTTTCGTTTATTGAAAAAGACTAATTTTTCTTAACAACAAATGCGTTAAAATACCTGAGACTAGAATTTAATTTCTAATAACTGAAAGTATTTTGTTTAGATTTGGATGCTTGCCAAGCTTCACCTCTGTGTGAGAGATGTCCTAATTCTGCAGATTTAGCATTTTAGAAAGATGTATCTTTAGTATTAGAGATTTATAATCCTAAAGTTCAATATTTGATGAAGAAACTGGAATGGTGTGGGTTCAATCAAGTATTTGCCTATAAGGCAGAAATACGTGTGTTAGTGTATTTATTGATGTACTTTCTCCAAATGTACTTATTTTTTCAAACTTCAAAAGAAAAAATAACTAAATTGGAACTGTTGTTTTCCAACATGAAGTAATTAGCATCAATATAGAAATATTTTTTTAAAAGGGAAAGCCTCAACAGTGAAAGCTTTTGCTAATGGAATTGTGGCTAGAATGCTTCATAAAGAGGCAGAACATTTGTGAGGTTATTAATGGTAAATTTTAAAATATAATGGGGAAAAGCTATAATGAAACTTTTGAAAGGACTCGATGTGTCATGGTGCATAACGTAACACTTTTGAATCTCAGACCTGGTCCATAATGTACTAAGGACTGGGTAAGGCAGGTCTCATTTATATAAGTCTTGTGCCTTTGCTATGTTCCATTAGCCCAGTTCCGCATCAAAGACTCAAACTATAGTGAATGATAAGATAGGTGGCAACTGGATTTCAAATTTTAAAACTCTTAGGGTACAGTTTAGGTTGCCTCTCTTAAAATTCAAAGCTATATGTTGTGACTGCTTAAATTCAGGCTTTTTACCTTGTTGCCTGCTTAGTAGTGCAGTGTTGTCAAGGCGGTAGCTATTGTCTCAGGTGTTATTGTTTTAATGCAGAGTGAAGATGAGTGGCATTGTTTGATCACATTTGGCATGGTATACGCTCAACCAAACATGCTTAGTTGAGAGTATACCATGTGTGTTCTCATAAAATAGTGCCTATAACCAAATAATTACTAATGTAGGTATGGCCAATCACAAAGCATCCATTTACCATATGAGAGACTGGTAAGATGGCTTCCTATTACCTGTCTAGTCCTCAGAATGCTTTTTACTAACCTAGCTTAATTTTATCTTTTTTCTACTCAGGAGCCAAACATCTAAGGATGCTTATGGGATCTATGTTGTCCCAGACAGGTTTTTGGAAATAAAGATCATGTCAAAACGTCTTCTAAAACGGGGGTTCCTAAACTTTTTGCCATCACATCTCCCTTAATGTCTTAATGTACATACCTCCCCTAAAAATCCAAACACCAAAATGAACACAAATGGACAATAAAAACAATACAATGAAACTTTGGGAAAAGTGGATTTATTGTAATAATGTACAACTAAAAGGTTCTTCACACCTCCCCTGGATTCTGTTTGCACCTTCCCAAGGAAGGTATACTTCACAGTTTGGGAAACTCTGCTTTAAAGCATGAAGTGGGGCAGGGAATTTGGCAGCCACAACTGGAAATACTTTCAGGCATATTGGTGCTCACCAGTAGTCCATGGAGAACACAAGAAATAGTCTATTCTTAAGTAGTTTATTAGCAAGTTGAAAATTATGGCTATCAAGGATAGGGATAGAAACATGGAGCTAGACTGAGTTGTGTTTGATCAGGTCTCACACACAACTCAGTTTAGCTGTAGAGATTGAGAATGTTCACTTGTAGCTTTAATGTTTTCTGTTAAGTATTACAGAATATTAAACTCTTTTTGAAAATTTCAGTACTATTAGATTAGCTTTTCTGAGTGGAAGAAGTATGCAATCTGAGGAACTCTTGTAGCTGAACATGCATCTCAAAAGCCATGGCTTTGGCTTCCATAAATTTTTCAAAATTGTTATTTTCGACTTAACAGAAATGGAAATTAAATACATTTTAAATACAAATCCATCCCACTATTGTCTTTTAGGATAAGCAGAGTTATGCAAAGTGATCTACCACTGTAATGATCTTCAAAGAAAGGCATTTTAGAAATTTTATTATATATATGGTAGTCCTTCGGAATCAAAGAAACACTGTTGTGCAGTTCTTCTGTGGACATGGAGGTGGTTCCGCAGTCTGTTGTAATGAGGGAATAGCCATCTTGCTCAAACCATGGTTGGTGCTCTTGAAAGGATACTAAGTTCACATACTTCCTGTCTAGTCACTCCTGGAAATGGTTTGTTAACTGCTTTTCAGCTATTAGGAACTTCTGGATTGACATGTTTTATAGCACCAGGTGACTTTCCTTCAATCCTTAGCAAAAGAAGTTTTAACTACAAGTTCTTAAGTTTAAGAACTTAAAAACATTTTTTTTAATAAACAGCAAAAGGATGATTAAAACTTTGATTTTAGAAAGTTACAAACCGACTAAGGGTCCAGATAAATTTGAAATAAGATTTTGGAATTAATTATAAAGAATCCTTCCCATGGGAAAATGCTTTTGTTTTGATTAAAAAAAAAACATAGTTAAGACTTTAAAAATTGGACACTAGAGGGAACTGGAAGGAACTAAAGATTAGAATTAAAGGAGAAGAACACTCAAACTTGACTTTCAATTACAGAATGATACAAAATATTTTAACATTGGACATATTGATGAATATTTTTGAACAATGGACTCAGAAGTTAATTTTTAAACTGTCTGCCTCTATAGATAGACTGTGTCTAAAAGATGTTCTGGAAAAAGAACAAGTTCTACCTGACAAGATCGAGACTGAGTTGAAAGTGGATTTAAAATGACAGGCTACAAGAATGACATGGAAAAAGATGTTACACTGGCAATACCAAAGAAAATGGCTGATTTCTAATAATTAAAAAGGATATACAAACAACAAACCAAGAGAGTGACCTGGATAATTTTCCAATATTGGATTTACAAAAGAGGCTTGTTAAAGTTTTGTAGAATTTTGTGAGAAGGGATAAAGAAAAAATGAAAACAAATCAAGTTCTATGACATTATTTGAAGGAACTAAAGATCAAGATTGGAAGACATGAAAGGAAGGAATATAAAGCTAGCTTATTTGATCAAGGCTAAAATAGATAAGTTGTTATCTCTGGTAACCCTTAATGAACTTTTGCTGACATCAGGACTGAAATGATGATATTTTATGGATTTGTTTATAGAGAAGAGATGGGATATGGGGGGAATAGATCATTTGTTGGACTTTAAGAGAAGGTGCTAAGTTACTAAAATTATTTATACTTGTGATGAAGATGGGAAGTCACTTCTTTATATATTTCTTTTTTTTCTTTACTATATTTTTATTTTTTATTTTTCTTTCTCTTTCTTCCTTTTTTCTTTCTTTTCTGCACCTTCTGCTTTTTCTTTTTATTCTTTTAGTTTTTTTCCCCAGTTTGTATTAGTTTTTATTGTTGTAATTATAATTCTTAATAAAATTACTATTAAAAAAACCTAAACCTATCATAATAGACAAATTATCTATTTGGTCTACTTTTTTACCATTTATTTATAATTTGCCATTGCTCCCTTTTCTCTCTCACACAAAACAACCTTAGTCTTTGCTAACTGTCAGATCCATTTTGCTCATTTCCTTAGTCTATCTAACATTTGCTACAAATTGTTAGGGTTCTCAGCCAAGAACATATCATCTGCACATTCACATCCATGACCAGTGTGCCTCTAATGTCACCACAAGCATTCCTTATTGTTTTATCCAGGAATAATTAATCAACCAGGGGTCTTCGCATATCCTTGTTTTACTCCTTGCTCAGGACTAAATCATTTGCTAAGCACTTATTCTCACACATTTTCTTTCCCTCATGTACTCTTCCTACTGACTTCGGCAACCAATCTTCAACTCTATATTCATGCAAAATATCCCATAATTGAAGCTTATTCATTTTATCTTACACTTTCTCTACATCAACAAACAGAATAAACTTGCTTACATTCATACATTTCTCAGTAACCTGCTGAAGAACAAAAATCTGGTCTGTGCACTGTGAGCAGCATCTCAAACAAAAAAGATTTGTATCTTTTTGATTCTGACAAACACCTTCCAGACACAATGAACAAACTAATCCCCATGCAGTTTTGTATTCACTCTTGCTATCTTTTCCTTTATATATGTGAACAGTAACAACATTCTCCCGATTGTCAAGCCCAGATGCAATCTTCACACACACATTAAGCAGGTTGCACAACCACTCCATAAGCAAACCACATCCATATCTTAAGTTTTCTACTCGTGCAACTTTACTATTTTTCAGTCTTCTCATAGTGTTAATGACTTTATGTTAACCAGTATTTTTATAGGTAGTAACACTTTTCCATTTCAATTCTACACGTATCACTGTAGTTGTCATAAAATCTCTGTAATAGTCCTTGTTGCATTTTCTCACTTCAATTTCAGCCCAAATCATTATAAATCTTTATTTTTAATTCTGTTCACTGTACTGTGGGCACATTTAGCCCTCTTTACATGTGTCCATAGCAATTTTTTATTTCCATCAAAATTGCTGTTTTCTCTCCTTCCTTTAAGTATTCTCGCTGTCTTTCTTTACATTCTTTGCAACCATCTTTTATTGTATATTCCCATTATACAATAGCTTTCTCTTACCGTCATTTCTGCAGCATTCTCTTATATGCATTTTTCTTCATCCGCAGTCTCTTTACTTCATCATTTCACCAAGGATCTTTTTTCATACTTACCATTAGCATAAGTTCACTAACTTCTATGGCATTCTGTAACATAATTCTCTTCACTCTGTTCCAAGCGGCTTCCGTACTCTCTTCCTTTGTGCTTGTTTTCCATTTATTCACTTGGGAAATTAATCTGTCAGAAAAGTATTAGAACTTTTTCATACAGGACTCATACTTCCTCTTCAATCATTCTGCTTTCACTTTAGTTTCTTTCACTTCTTACCTGTTTAAAAGGGAGAGCATTATATTACATCTCAGAAAGTGGGATGCCATGGAATTAACTTTTGCCAAATTGGATTTTATATGTATATGATTTTAAAGCAAATAATATATATATATACTTGCAGATTATGACTCAAGTGGAGGGACAACAGAAGAACCTTGTGCAAGCCATTGAATCCCTTCCAGATTCTGGTCCTCTTTCTGCCTTGGATCAAGACTTGCTGCTTTTAAAAGCTACCTCTGCTGCCGCTCTCAGTTGCCTGGGGGAATGCCTGCATTTGCTACAACAAAACATAAACCAAGTGAGCCCACCTAGGAACAGAACATTACCTTCAGGTGCGTAAAGCTGGCTGGATTTCTTTCTTTCTTTTCCCCCACTGGCCATGTGGTAGTTGTACTTGCAATACAACAGGACTAGAATTTTCCAGTTATACAGTAAATGAAAGGAGGCTTTTAGTCAAAATATATAAAAATAGAATCATGGAACCTCAGTGAATAACAAACTGTGCCAATATTAAACATTTATTTTTATCTTGAGGATGACATTAAAGTCATTTTATACAGTATTTATACATATACCTAATGGGGAGAGAAAATCATGACGATCTTTGCCAGTACTTTATGAATGCATACCATACTGAAGCATTATTTTTGGTATTGTTATCATTAATTCAAGGCAAGATAATGAAGACATTGAAGATCATTGTATTGTCCTGCCAAATATAGCCCCTATGGGAGGCTGTTGAGTGGTTTAGCTGTTCTTGCTTTATTTTTTTTACCATGGTACTGTCATTCAGATTATAATCACTTTTTTTTTTTAATTAAAGAAATGGACCATTGCAAAGTAGCATTCTTTGAATATTTTTGAATTTCAATTGTGTAAATTTGAGACAACATTCTTATTTGAGATGCATGATAAAAAATCCAGTAATTCCCATAAATGTGAATCTGAAATGCTACTATATAAAGTTAACCCTGTGTTCCCTACGTGCTTGACCAGCATGGTATGTTTTGGCTCAGCATATGAAATTTTGGATTTGTAAGTATAAATAACCAGATGTCAAACTTACCTGGCTGAACTCCTATAGCAGAATTGAGTCATAGTCTTAGGCTTAGCAGCTTTGTCATTTTAAGTCAAAACATTGTTGTTGAAGTTTTGTTGGAATTTCTTTCCTGTCTGTGTATGCTTTGACTATATTGACGTGGAGGCTTTTTTTGCACTATTGACCTGGGACTCTACAGCCAAGTTCATTGACTCTGTAGGTCACTCATAATAAAGCAACAAAGATCTAGAGGTGATGTTTGCTTTGGTTTCTAGCCACTGGAATGTATTAAGGCGCTAAGCACTTGGCAAGCAGAAGAGCACAGCTTCTGGAATTCTTTCCTTGTTTCATCATAAACAGTACAGTATGAACAAATGGCATTTGCAGAATTCTGGGAAATTAAATAGTCCTCTCTGTGAAGTAGAAACTGCTTCAAGTTTATATTTAATCTAAAAGACAATTTGTTCATCTATGCCTATATTGTTCTATTTGAAGCAGATTCTTGGCTGCGGATGCTGTTATGATCGCCACATGTCTGAAAAAATCTCAGGTGCCCAGCTGTTCAAGCGGTTATATTTTTAATGCTAGAGTTTAAATTTCCCAGTTTTGATTTTTCTAAAATAAAACGCTACGATAATTTTTAAAGTAAATGAATATGTTCAGATTCAGTTCCACACTGGAATAAAAAAGTGGCACGTTATAGTACTTGAGTGCCTGGGTAAAAAACTAAACTGTAGTTGAAACCTATATGCTGCTTACAAGCCAGAAATGAAGTTTTTTCTATTAATTTCAAAAGAACCAATTGTATGGAACGTTTTTCTGTTTGAGGATTGTCATTAACAGCAGAGGCACTGTTTAAACAGATAAGTACGTAGATACAGAGACATCTTGATAACTGCTGTGACAGTAGAAAAGTGAGATAGAGTAGAAAGGGCAGGAGAATCAAGGTCCTTGTGCCAGCTCCTCTGTGTTTCCTGCTTTTGATTCATCAAAGCCCACCCGTACTGTTTAATGCCCAAATGTAAATGCCCTCCAGAAGGAAATATCCATGAGAAATTTCCAAGAAAGAGGAGCTGAAAGCCAGTCTGATTATCACAAGCTTTATTAAAGGTAAATACTTACAGGAGTAAACTTCCAATGCTCCCTGTGACAGAGGTATGTATGCTGTGTACTGCCATGGCACATCTGTGCCAAAGGGCTGGTTTGTAAAACTTTTATAGCCATGCGCAAAACAAGATGTGTGAAAAACTAGCTTATCAGTGAAATGCCCTTCCTGTGAACTTCTCAGTATCTCTGCACTTGGCATTACCTCAGTGTGCATTTCCAGATACAGTCTGTGCCATGCAGGGCATCATTTTTAATACTAAAAGTTCACACATTGGTTAAACTTGGTGTTAGCTTGGCTCAGTGTATACACGTGCATTTTTTTTTTTTTTAATCTGCGCTCAGTCATTACCGACTCTGCAGTGACTGCTTGGACG